TTTCATAACTTTCATTCGTTTCGACATCTAAAAAACACATTTTTTCCGGATTTTCATTTCGTTGGATTTCGCTATCTTTTTACTGCGATTGCCTGACCTCACCAGCCGCAGTAATAGAAGTAGGAAGTAACGCAAAAATTTATGACGTCATATAAATGGAAAAGTATATTGGAAGTGTGCTGCGACATATATTGGAACGGTATGTGCAATGCTGCCAGTATTGACAGTGAATAACGAAACGCGGCCGTTATCTCGCGCTGTAGCGCTGTCTTGTTCGCTCTCGACACGCCGAAGGTCAGCACACGGACATGGGGTCGTGCTTGTGTGTATGGAACTACCGGCAGAGAGAAACCCTGTGCTATTGGTTTCGCCAGACCGCCGTCTGATTCGGTGTCGCCACCGTCAACTCAGAGTTTTTGACTGACTACTCAGGAACCTTAAAGTGGAGTAACTAATACTTCTATTAACTTTTGCTTTTTAATACTTCTTTCTGGTTCATTTTCTGTAATTCTAATGCAATATATTCTGCAAATACAGTTTCGACAGTTCTCAAATTTGAGCTTGAAGTCTCTGCTACAATACTATTGGTTAAGTTATTTATAACGTTCAAAATGTTTTCTTCGTTTGATTTTTCTTTTAAACACTTATTTTCTTTTGTTTTATTATTTTCTAATATTCTGGGCTTTTTCGTTGGATTTTCGTCAGAAATTGTATTCATATTTTCTGCTGAATTTTCGTTTGCTGTAACATCCCTCGCATTGCTGTAAGTTCTATAAAAATAGATTACATATTTTAAAATATTTTTATACATGTAGGTAGAAAAATTATTACAAATGATAAAGAAATTAACCTGCGTCTCTGTATATAAGTAATACAGGGTGTTTGAAAATTATCGGCTAATCTATCACGAGCAGGTAAAACGGAGCGAATTGAATCGAAAAATCTTATACCATTTTGTAGGTTGCGCAATAGTGAACGAGATATTAACGTTTAAAGATAGCCGAATAAGCGCGTCCGGCCGGCCTACTGCTGCCGAGTATACAACCTACCGTCCCCACCGATCGCACGGCGCGCGGGCCGCTGGGAGTGGGGACTGCCACTAAACGTCTTCAAACGATTCAAACGGCAAGTGTCGATCTGGCAGCGCTGGGGTGCGGACGTGTATCTCCTGTCTCCGTGTTGTTTGGTCGTGTTGCGAGTATATTTCGCTTGCGAGTAGCTATTGTGCGCTTTGCTCTAGTTATTTGAACGCTCCTCGTTCCGGACTTCTGAACATAAACTTTGTGCCGTCACTGCAAAATACAGTGTAAAGGGCTTAACTCAATTTGAGGCACCATGCCTCAGCCCCCTGGGGTGGGGGATGATGGCCGTGGCGATGTTTCGAGCGCATCTTTCTCTCTCAATCCCCCGACTCTTGTCCTAAATCCTTCTTCACCTTCCGACTCTAATATATCTTCCCCTCCTAGGTCTCCGCATAGCGAACAGGCCTCTCAAATCCTATTAGAAGACATTTACAAGGAGGCGGGCCTGACAATACCGGGCCCCCCTCGAGATGGGGTGATTGCGTCAGAGGGTGGCATCAATAACGCAGGTAATGGATGCCCGGTGGATCCAGCTGGGGCGATTTCCGTCACCTCTGGGCCTTCCAGGGACATGGATTCGTCCCCCATGAACATCGATGAGGAACAAAGGCAAGCTAAGAAACGAGCATTGCCAGGACTTACAGAGGACAATACTCAAAACAAGCATGCACCTCCCGCCAAGAAAGGTGCATGCGCGAGTGTAAGTAATCCTGATACGCCGTCCAGTGTTCGGGCGGATTTGCATGAAAATTCAGCCAACCAGAACTTGAGCAACAAAATAACGCCGCGATACAGTCAACGCGATACAGGCCCGTACGTTGTTTATGTATATCCTAACTCTCGAGACAATATCATACATTCCACGCTCATAAGCCGCATTATAGTTAAAGCTGGTATTTCTGACATCCTCGAAATCAAGAAAATTGGTAGAGGAAAGATAATGATTATAGTCAAAACCGCCTCGAGTGTCAATCGATTGGTGGAAAACTCTGTGTTTACCAAACATAACCTGAAAGCATTTATTCCTTCTTTCAAGGTTCTTAGGACAGGCTTAATCAGCGATATCCCGCAACAAGTCGAGCTGGATGTTCTAAAGGAAAGACTGGAATCGCCAAAAGCCAAGATAATTGATGTGCAGAGATTAAACAAGAGATGTATCACAAATGATAAGATCGAATATGTCCCATCTAGGACAATCCGTATTAAGTTTGCAGGTCAGATCCTGCCGCAAGAAATCTTTTTGTTCAAGGTTAGGCATGAGGTTCGCCCTTATATTCCACTTCCGAGAATCTGCCGCCTCTGTCATAGAGTCGGGCATGTAAGTGGCTCGTGCAAGAGCACTCCTAGATGTTTGCATTGTGGTGAGGACAAGCATGACAGCAGCGGTGATAACAGTGCAGATCAGGTGTGTCGTATGCAGGGGGAGAGCCCCAGATGCATCAATTGCCAAGGCGACCATTGGGCCAATAGTCAAAACTGTCCAATGATTGTTAAACAACGCACTATAGTCAGTCTTGCTGCTGTGGAAAATATTTCCATAGCGGACGCAAGAACCTGGGTTGAAAATGGTCGGAAATCCTCCTCTCTACCTCCTAATGCATCGCTGAGAAATAATACGAACAACTTTCCCAATCTCCCTCGCGGTAAGGAGACTCACTTCGAAAATTCTAACAGATTTAATCTTCTAGATACTGAAGAACCTGAAAACGTGTACCGCTCATACGCTGAATCCTTAAAATCTCAGATTCAACCACAGCCACAGCCACAAAGAAACAAGCAGGTCTTCCGCAGAGGGAATATGCCAACGCCGACGCCTACGTCGGCGCTTCCATCTCGCAGACACGCGGTTCAACCCAGCACGCTCCAGGGTGGCTATGATGAAGGGGCTCATCGCCAGGTTCTTATCGAGGCTAACGGCCGAGCCTCACACAAGTCTGGCAACGGCATAGCCTTCTCTAATTACTCCTCCGAATGGTCAGAGTCTCGGGGTGCGTACGCAGGTAAGGCGACTGACGAGTTGGACTTTGCTGAGTTGCTTTCCATGGCAACTGGAATTTTTTCACACTTCCATAATAGCAACATTGCCGGCGCTCTTAGCGACATTTTCAAGCTTCTTAAAACTCTTGGTAAATACTTTATGCAATCTCCTTCCTCTGCTCCTCAGTCTGACAGAGAGGCGAGAGGTTCTCCTAGAACCCCCCATGTCATCAATGATTATAACAACAGGTTCGAACAGCAGCAAGACACTGCATTCGATTACGATTATGAATTCGGTTGCAACTACAACTTTCGGAACTAGCTCATTTGCTTCACGCGATTATGCCAATCAGGTCAGTGACTTCCCGCGCGGCCCGTATGGTCCTTTGTCTTCGCCATTGTCGCGCGACTCGGCGGATTGGAGATCGGTGGCGGCGTCGCTGTCGCCCTCGCCGGTTCGCCGGCGTCGCGGGGCTGGCGCGGGCACATATTCGGAGGGTAATGCATCTCACAAACGGTTCAACATCTTTCAATGGAACAGCTATGGAATTAGAAGTGGACTCCCTTCACTGCTTTCAATTGCAAAGTACTATCGTGTTCTCTGCATCCAAGAAACTCTGCTTAAAAACAATAACGCCATTAATATTAAAGGTTTCAACGTATATAGAAAGGATATAATCCCATCCAGGAGACCGAGGCATATGCACACTAGTAAGAGCGGATATCAAGTCTGAGCTTGTCGTCCTCCAGAATATTGAGCATCCATCAGTAGAATTCAATGTGGTCCAAATTGAATGTCTAACTTCAGAACCGGTGGTTATCGTTAATGTCTATCGACACCCCGGGCAAAGAACTCCTGCTTCCTTCTTCAGATCTTTGCTCAACAGCTTGCGAGGTTACAAGAACCTTATTATTCTGGGAGATTTCAATGCTCATCACCCGGCATGGGGCTCTGGGGCACACTCTAGTTCGGGAAGGACCCTTCATCAGATCATTGGAGAATATGACTTGTTCATACTTAATGGAAAAGCGCCAACCTTTGTGAGAGTTTCATCAGCTACTACCTCAACTATAGATCTGGTTCTGGCGTCTCCCTCCCTGGCACCTCTGTGCAGCACTAAAACAGAATCCGATACTCTCGGCAGTGACCACTTCCCCGTCATCACGACAATTGGCATCCAAGTCTGCTTCAAAAAAAAATTCTACTATAAAATACCGTTATCTAAAGAAATGTGCCAGGATCTGTCTCGGACTTTGTTCTCCGCTACCAAGGATCTTCCCGCTTAAGTTGGAAATAATCTATTAGGTTGCTATGACGCTTTTATTAACAATATCCTTGAGGTGGCCAGGAGCTTCCTCCCAGAGAGCAAGCGTTTTCCGCGCACCTCTGTACAAATAAAAAAATTAGAACTTCCGCCTTGGTGGAATGAGATCTGCTCCGAAGTGGTTCGTGATAGAAAGAAAGCTATCAAAGAGTTCCTGTCCACCCCTTCTGAGGAGAACCACCAAGATTTCCGAAGGGTCCGCTTAAACTGTTCCAAGGTACTCCTGGAATAAAAGCGAAGAGGCTGGCGCACCCTGGTGAATGGCTTCAATGCAAGGACTCCTACCAGTCAGATTTGGGCCTTGATTAAAAGTTTCAAGAGGAGGGCGTCGCAACAAGACTCCCCGCAGCAAGAATACATACAGATCGCCATGGAAGCTATCTCCAAACTGTGTCCTCCGTCATTCTTTTGTAATAGATCCAAAACTTTGACAGATATGAAATTGGAGGACGAAAAAAACACAAATACATATGCTGGGTTGGACGACCCCCTGACCATGAGCGAATATCGGAGAGCAAAAATTTCGTCCAGAAAAAACTCCGCGCCTGGATTGGATCAGGTCTGTTATAAGATGCTGGATCAGTTACCCATGGAACATGAGACCTATTTGCTATCTATGTTCAACGAAATCTTTTCCCAGGGAATATTCCCAGATTCATGGAAAACCTCGCTGGTTATATTCATACCCAAGCCTGGCAATAAGGCGGTTAGACCTATTTCGCTCATGTCGTGTGTCTGCAAGCTTATGGAGCGAATTCTTTACCAGAGGCTGAGATGGTTTGTGGAATCTAACCCGATTCTTCCTCAGGCTCAGGCAGGCTTCAGGCCTTTCAGGAGCTGCGACGATAATCTAGCCGTTCTTACAACAGCAATCAGAACTGGCTTCTTCGAGCACTCTGTCACGGTTGCGGCTTTTCTGGACATTGCAAGTGCGTTTGACAACGTGGATCCGTTTATCCTCTTGGAGGATCTGAAGGACATAGGAATTCCAGCTCTCTTTAGTAAATTTGTGGAAAACCTGATTAGCATCAGAACCATGTTTTTCGTGGTCGACGGCGAATCTCAAGGACCTTATTTAACATACAAAAGCACTCCACAAGGCTCTACTTTGAGCCCTCTACTATTTGACATTTATCTCAGGAATCTGGGTCAACACTTACACCCTGATACCCGTTTTCTGCAATACGCCGACGACGTGGTACTCTACTCCACACATAGAGACCCGAGGATTGCTGCTGAATCGGTTCAAGCTTCACTCAACAAGTTGTACGAGTATCTTAAATACAGAAATCTGGAATTATCTCTCGGCAAGTCTAGCTGGATTTGTTTTTCGCAAGGGTCTGCGAAAAAAATCTCATCAAAATTAGTAATTAATGGGAATCAGGTCCCCAGAGTTCATTTTCAGCGCTTTTTAGGAGTTATTCTGGATTCCGGTCTTAAGGGTGGTCACCATCTTAAATACCTCATTGAAAAAGGTAAAAAAATCTCTGGCATTATTGCTACCTTATCGGGTGTTACTTGGGGCTCCCATCCAGGTCTTCTGCTCACTCTGTATAGAGCTATCTTCCGCAGTGCGGTGGAATACGGGTGCCGTTATTTCACATGGTCCTCTTCCTCGCCGAGTTACCTCAAACTGTTGCGTTTGCAGTATAGGGTGATTAGGGGAGCTATGGGATATCGCATTTCGACGCCGATCAATGTTATGTTAGCTGAAGCAAAAGAAATCAGCTTTGACATTAGACTTAATTTAACTACTTCGAGATTTATTTACAAAGCCATGGCAAGCAGGTTTAGCTTGGTCTACCGTTCCCTGGAGGAAATGGAGTTAGCGATTACCAGTAGGAATTGTAGGATCGATGCCATCAGCAAATCTAGACTCTTCAAACATTACGTTACCAGTCGCGGAGAGAACATCATTCATCGATCCACCTACCCACCTGCTTACTGGCACTCCTATGAGGTCCTTACTCTACAAATAAATTACATTAGCGATTTAAAGGGCTACGATAAGAAGGATAACCTCAGCTTGATCAAGGCGGATTTCTATTACAAATCCTTTAATTACAGACAGGATGCTGTCTCCTGGTACACTGACGGATCAAAGAGTCAGGATGGCGCGGTGGGCGCAGTGGTCTTCACGCCTGACATGGAGGGAACAATAAAACACAAATTACCTTCTGAAACTTCAGTATTCTCGGCGGAACTATGGGCCATACTTCAGGCCATTCAGCTAATTGGGGATCTCAACACCAAGAAGAACGTTATCTTTTCGGACTCGGAAAGTGCATTGGAGGCACTCAGCAACTCCACTAAGGCTCATCGCAACTACATAATCTATTACATTAAACAGGCTTATCTCAACATTATCAAACAAAGAAATAATTTTTTTCTGGGTGCTTGCTCACGTCGGGATCCCAGGCAATGAATCTGCAGATGCTGCGGCCAAACAGGCAGCTATAGAGGGATACAAACCTCCCTTCAAGGTTCCTTACAAGGACCTTCTCACGGAATCTACTGCACTAGCGAACAGGCAGTCCGAAGAAAGTATGAAGATTGTTTCAAGCTCTAAAGGCACCCTGTATTATGAAAATTTCCATAACGCTTCGCCTAATAAAGCATGGTTCCATGGGACCAATTTATCAAGAGAAGAAATTGTAATGATTAACCGCTTGAGATCAAATCATATAAACGTCAATGAAAGTCTCCATAGAGTCAACATGGTGGAGTCTCCCGCATGCCCCTGCGGTGACTTCAATCACCTTATATTTCATTGCGAAACCTTCAATTACAACTCATCTCCCATTAGAAATTACATAGCGCAGAAATTTCCAAATCCCTCCCCGAACCTCCTCCCGGCCCTTCGCTCCCCTTCTCCTAAACTATGTCGTCTGCTCTTGGCTTACATAAAGGCCAACGAGCTTTTCTTTTAGTTACTCTACACTCTTTCTCCCCTCCCTTTCTCCTTTGGCGCGCGACTCACCGTCGGGTGGTGGCAGGCGTCTGGTGGTGGGGAAGAGAATCGAGATCGCGCGTCATTACATCAAGTTGGCAACCCCTCAACGTTTAACAACCAGATATGCAGACTTCAATGGCCTAGTTTCAGCCTGGTTGGCTGCCTGGCCAAATACTAGGAAGAAGAAGAAGAAGAAGATTCAAACGGCACGCCTAGCAGGCCATCCCCACTCCCAGCGGTCCGCGCGCCGTGCGATCGGTGGGGACGGTAGGTTGTATATTCGGCAGCCCACAACAGTAGGCCGGCCGGACGCGCTTATTCGGCTATCTTTAAACGTTAATATCTCGTTCACTATTGCGCAACCTACAAAATGGTATAAGATTTTTCGATTCAATTCGGTCCGTTCTACCTGCTCGTGATCGATTAGCCGGTAATTTTCAAACACCCTGTATAATATATTATAGGACCGTATATGTGATAACACAAACTATAGAAATCAAAGCCTTAAACGGTCTAGCTGGATCTTAATGCTTGTATGATTCTTATGTGAATTTATATACTACGTATGTAGTCCTACAGAAACGCGTGCCGAAAAATTTTCGGTCTTGAAACGCTAACTCTACTAAACTACCGCAGTAATATCACAAGTTAAATTGACTAGCAATTTAACAAATTTTTGATGCTTATTCGCATCTTCGAAACGATCTTAATAATGATGAATAACATATTAAAATCTGTAAATAATTAATTCTTATTGCGAAAAATATTACCTCGGTCGGGAGTCGAACCCGGATCTCTTGCATACCGTGCGAGCGTCCTAAGCCTTTAGACTACCGAGGTAGTCAAGGTAATATTAGAGGTATCAAGGTAATATTTTTCGCAATAAGAATTAATTATTTACAGATTTTAATATGTCATTCATCATTATTAAGATCGTTTCGAAGATGCGAATAAGCATCAAAAATTTGTTAATTAACTCGTCAATTTAACTCGCGATATTACTGCGGTAGTTTAGTAGAGTTAGCGTTTCAAGACCGAAAATTTTTCGGCGCGCGTTTCTGTGGGACTACATACGTAGTATATAAATTCACATAAGAATCATACAAGCATTAAGATCCAGCTAGACCGTTTAAGGCTTTGATTTCCGTATATAAGTATATTCAAAAAGGACATTTGGTTTAATAACGGTGATGGTTTTTCTGTTGATGCTGCGCTACTACTTTTAGTATTTTTCTCATTTCTTTGCAAACGACTAAATTTTTCTCTCAAAGTCTTCAGTTTTTTCTGACAGTACTCTGATGTATAATAATGTCCTAGAAAATAATTATTGTTTAGTAATAACTTAAATGCAAAATAAATAAAAATAAAAGAAAGAAAATAGAAATTATTCTAATATACTAACTACAATTTTTCTCTATCATAATTTTAGATATTTCTAATCAAGCGTTTGCCTTCATTTCATTATCTTTAAAGTTTCTATCTCTTTTATCACATACAAGCAACGTCGTTCTCTATATTAGGTTTTAAACTTAATTCCTGCCGTTTTTTGTCTCCAAAATTGATTTGTTTCGAAGGGAAATATCTTAATCAAAGTATTATTAATAAATTATTAATTATAATTTATTAATAATACTTTGATTAAGATATTTCCCTTCGAAACAAATCAATTTTGGAGACGAAAAACAGCAAGAATTAAGTTTAACATCTATATATATTTATTAAATAATCTCCCTCCTTTCTATCAATTTTTAAATCATTGTCCATATTAATATTGTTTGTAGACATTTCATAATTAAACGATTCTTCTATAATTTCATAAGAGTATGAGTGATCCATTATTCTAAAATATTATAAGTATAATAAATAAATATATAAATAAAAATGACCTTGTTATTGAAAATATAAACTCACAAGAAAAACTGCCAAAGACGAGCTAACGAAAATATATGTTAAAAAATATTGATAAAATTTAATATATTCGATACATTGAAATTAATATGAAACTAGTGCTCATATATAATTATACATATCTATAGGTATTTATATATACAGGATTATACATATTTATGTACATATATTCATGCATGAAAAAATTTTTACCGAGTTGTCACAATTAATGTTCTTAGTTAATTATTCTCTATAAGGACCATTTGTATGTGTGTGTGCCTACACAACAGAACAGTTATAACTAGTTTCGCATTAATTTTAATCGAATTACATTTTATCAATATTTTTTAACATCCATTGTCGTTAACTCGTCATTGGCAGTTTCTCTTGGCCATTAATGTAATAAATAATTTTAATAACAATGTTTCCGACAAATATTGTATTTTATGCAAAGAATGTCAGAAAGAGGTTATAATAGAATTTTCGTTGCTTTTACAGCTTTAATACGCAATAGACACCTTTTCTTATTGTAAATTTACAAAAACATTAGAAATATCGTTTTATTTAATTAATATACAATTGGTTACAGTTTGATCTTTATCGGACTTACCACCTACCACTGCTTGTGCTACTCAGCCGACTCAGCAGCTTCTTATGCTAAGTTTTTCTTCTTCTTCTTCTTCTGATTTTGGCCAGGCAACCAAGGTTGTGACTAGGCCATTGAGGTCTGCGTAAATTGAAGCTAATCGTGAATAGGAATGCTATGCACCGGCCACCTCGAACCGGGCAGGTAAAATAAAGGATGATACAATCAAAATGTTGGGGCGCCCCTTCAAACACTGGACGTCTGCGGCTACGACGCTTCCACGCCGCACGGCCGCACGCCAAGACGGATAAAGGGACTATCGAAATTGAATATAACGGCACAGTCCAAGCCGGCAACGCTTTTCAAAAATATAGTCGAGGTGACGCAACACCCAAGACGAGAGGGAACACGTCCACCTCGGTTGAGTGGTTCTTCGGAACTGGCTAAGTTTTTCTTTGTGTGTTACTTAAGCCCATGACACATACAAGAACGTAAGGCCGTAACACGCAAGCAGTAAGTGAATTGACCAATCACAGTAGAGACCGTAAGGCCAGTAGCGAATCCAATGTTACGATTTCCTTATTGATTACGTCTTACGGACTTACGTTTTTCTATGTGCTCCCGGCTTTACGTTTTGTCTTACGGCTGGTAACGTGTTGAAGTAACGCAAGGCTCTGATGTAAAACCTATGACACATAAGGCCTGTTCTTTTTGGCTGAACTTTTGCACTAGTTCACCTTTCTTCCTTTTCTCTCCAGCAGGAAAGAAGAGGAAGAAAGATGAACCGGTGCAAAACTTCAGCCAAAAAGAACAGGCCTATACAAGAACGTAAGGCAATAGCACGCAAGCAGTAAGTGAATTGGCCAATCACAGCTGAGACCGTAAGGCTAGTAACGAATCCAATGTTACGATTTCCTTACTGATTACGCCTTACGGCCTTACGTTTTTCTATGTGCTCCCGGCTTCAGATCAGGGATGCCAGACCAGTGACGGTTTACGACATCGAGACTAACGCCATCAGGCGGCGGGCTGGCACAACCGATTGCAACACAAGCGCGAGCCCGTGTCCGTGTGACTACGTAGTTAGAAGCGTGCCGACTATATCGTCGACTTGTTCGCACTCGTTCTCATTATTTGGCCTTGTCGGCGCGTTGAGAGCGAGAGAGAACCTGCCTTCGCTTTTGTAGCTTCACTCAAGCGACCGAAATATGTTCTCTCGGCCGCTCGGCGTGTATCAAGAGGCATAGAGACATTCTAGATAACATACGGAGTGTCCAGAACTATTTTGCCAATCACTTTTGTATAGATAGAGCGGACTAAACTGAGTCGAAAAGTCCTCTATCATTTTGCAATTTTCGCAATAGTTAACAAGATATTAATTACTAAAGATTGCAAAATATTGGTCTTGAATAATTTTTTACTCAAATAATATCAACTTTACAGAAAAACTGCAAAAGACAAAAATTATTTGTTTCCTTCTCATAAAGTTCTGAGAATTTTTTCAGAATTTTTTTCAGAATTTTTTAATACCGTATTTTATAATGTTGGTAAAAAAAGAAAATGCAGTTCTTAAAAGTTGATAAAAAATTCTGAAAAAATTCTCAGAACTTTATGAGAAGAAAACAAATAATTTTTGTC